AAAAACGCCCAGTAACTCATGAGCTGTGGACAGGGGCACTGTGGGTAGGGGGCGGGGTTCATAGAGGGTCCAGCATGAGGACAGAAAGAGGGGAAGATCTGGGTGGTCTCTGGGCCCCCCAAAGCTCAGGCTTTTTACCTATGTCTGTGCTGTGGCCCAGTCAAGGCCCAACTGCTGCTCACCTGGCACCTTCTAGACCCAGGTAAAGGGCAGGGATGTACAAAGATAGCAGGGTGTCTGTGGGGCAGATGTCCTCTGAGTGACCATCCCTAGAGCCCCCCGCTCCCTTTCAGTTCATAGTTCTTCTGGGGACAGAACCCTGAGCTGCCAGCTCAGCAGACAGGCTCAGGGGCTCCTCACCTGAGACCAGGAGCTCCAGGGGCTCACTGGGGAGTGACAGCAGGTAGGGGGAGGAACTATTTGAGGTGTAGCACCTATAGCTGTCCCTGTTGGCTGAGGTCACAGGACTCATGGAGAACTCTGCCTGGTTCTGCTGAGCTTGGTGCTTTGATCCCAGAAGCAGGGGGGCATCCGCTGCCCCCTCCTTGGACAGAAGGAAAGTGTCCCTCGGGCTCCGTGACTGACAAAGCAGGGTCACCTTTCCTTCAGATGGCACCCTGAGGCCTATGTGCACCACCACTGATAGAGATGGTCTGTCAGGCAGGTGTCCTAGAGAGAGGGAGGGATTAGGGCTGCCTGCCCACCGTGTTCTCCCCTGAGAGTCACCAGGCCTCTCTCTGAGGACCCGTCTCTCTGTCTGTCTCTGTTTCTCTGAGTCTCCCTTCTCTCCACCCAACTCCTGCTTCCCTGTCTCTCTTCCTCCCTGGGACCTGCACTTTCATTCTGGCCTCACCCCCTGACACCCCCAGCAGGACCTGTTCAGAGTCTGGGTCCCTGTCTGAACCTACTGCCTCCTCACCTGCCACCAGGATGTCCAGGGGGTCACTGGGGGCCGACCACTCAGAAGAGAGGTTGTATCCACCGTAGCATCTGTACCGGCCCCCGTGGGAGCTGCTCACAGTGTCCAGTGGGAAGTGGGCCTGAGCGAGCCCAGCCTGGGGCTGCAGGACAAGGCTCTGGGGGAGGTCCCATCCCCCCTCCTTGTGCAGAGCGAATCTGTCATAGCCGACATCAGAGCGACACTGGAGGGTCAGGTTCTGTCCAGAGGCCACGATGTGGCCCTGCTGGCTCAGGAGATAAGGCTTCCCAGACTCACCTGGGGAGACCAGACATGAATTACAGGACTGCTCCTCCCATAAACTCCTTCTACTGGCCTGGCCTCCTGGTCTCATTGTCTCTCTCTGTGTCTCTGATCCATGGACCCCTGAACTCCCTCACCCCATCCTCTCCCATAGGGCTTCCTTCACAGCAAAAATGCCAATAACGTGTCTGGTGCCTCAATCCATGATGAGACAATAATGGGACTCACCTGAGACCAGGAGCTCCAGGAGGTTACTGGGATGTGACCACACATGGGGCCTGTCCCTGTAATAGCCATAGCATCTGAACATCCACCTGTGGCTGCGGGTCACAGGGCCCACAGGGAACAGGGTCTGGAACTGCCCACTGGACTGTGGCTGTGAGTCCAGGGTCCAGGAGAGTCTGTGATCTCCTTCCTTAGTCAGTATGAACCTGTGAAACCCCTGCCCTGAGCCACACTGGAGGGTCACGTACCCTCCTGAGGTCAGGACAGGGCTGGGGAGGGCTGAGAGGCTGGGTTTGCTGAAGGATCCTAGGAGAGGAGGGGGCAGCATCTTAGATGGGTTCATACCTCCGTCACACCACCAAGGGCTAGGCTGTGAGAGGGAGACACCCTGAGAGCCGCCCCCCGCCCTCCTGAGGGCAGAGCCTGAGGCTGGGACCCCTGAGTGTGCTCTCACCTGTCACCACCAGCTCCAGGGAGTCACTGTGCTCTGACCAGCCTGTGAATCTGATATAGTAACAGTAGTATCTCCCTGCATCATGCTCTGTCATGCGTGTGATGGAGAGCTTGACCTTGTCTCTGGGATTCCACTTAGTCTGTGTTTTCCAAAGCACACGTTTTTGTTGTCTGTACATACAGAACTCCTGGGCCTCCAGGGTCCCCTGACACCAGAGGGTCACAGGGCTCCCATAAGGGACCACAGGGCCTGGCTCAGCCCACATGGTGGCTTTGGAGAGGGTCCCTGGAGGGAAACCAGAGACTACATTACACAGACATTCCAAACTCCCCATCTCCCAGCTCAGCCCAAGACCCTCCTGGCTTATAACCTCATCCCAGGACCTCTGTGCTCCCACCTGAGCCCCAGGGGTGAAGTGACAGGTGGGACATGAAGCCTGGGGAGGACTCACCTGCCTGCACGTGGATGATCTGGCCCAGACTCAGCCCTGGAAGAGAGTGTCTGTGAGAGGTTTGTACCCAGATGTCTGAGCTGATTCCCTTCCCATCAGGGCCCTGTCCACTCAAGCTGCCTGAGGCTAAGGTTTCCCATGAACAAGAGCATGCAGCTGCCCCTCCTGCTTCCCTTCCCCATGTCCACAACTGACCGAGGCAGAGAAGAACAGAGAGGATGGACATCATGGTGTCTGCTCTGACGCTCCTGCTCTACAGATAGAGGAGGCCTGGGCCTGAAGGACAGAGATGCACAGGATGTGGTGGGTCAGGAGTTGTTGCGATCCTTCCGGGCCCTCAGAGAGGTGAACCCACAGCAAGAAGACCTCCCTCCCTCCCCCCAGGCCTAGGTCATAATTTTTCCATGATGAGGCCTCTGGAGACTCTCAACCCCAGGTCTGGGGTCTCTTCTGACTCCCAGGACCCTCTGCCTGGTCTGACCTCCTACTCAGAGAGGACAGGACCCAGGTTCTCATCCTGAGTCCACCCTCAACAGGCTAGCTCTACCTGCAGCTCATTACCTGTGTCTTCATCCACCCCCTAAGGGAATTCTCTTTCTGCCTTTGACTCATCCATAAACAAGTATTTACTGCTCACCTACTACCTGCCAAGTACTTGTACCAAGAACAGAAATATATCCGTGATCCAGGAGACCCATTTCCTGTATTTTGAGAACTCTAATTAGTAGACTAGGGCATTCTAAGGCTAATGTTGTAATTAATTGTTTACAAAGGAGAAATTTTAAAAGTATGAGAACTGGACTAGACCATGTCTAGACTGTGTTTGAAGGAATGGCTTTTTGAGTAAGTAGAGTGTGTTCATTTTAGAGAGGAAAGAACATTTTAGAGCCCCTGGACACATACAGACTATCTGAAAGGGAGGAAGAGAGAGGGAGGTGGTGGCTGGTCATGGGTGTGGTGATCACCACACAAGGGCATGGTGTGATATCTTTAACACAAAAGGAATATATACTGGTAAGAAGCAAACTGTTTGGTCAGATCGTCTTATAAAATCCTATGTGCCACTTATTACAAATAAACTAGAAAAGTGCAATATTTCTAAATAAAATATCAACAGTTATCTATACTAATAAAAGGGTAATATGCTAATTAGACTGGCTTTATTCCAGACATCCTTCTGGACAAAGCCATGGTGGCGGGGGCTGAGGTAGAGGCCAGCAGGGGAGAGCAGTTAGGAGCAATCAGGCCGGCAGGGAGAGCAGACAGGCAGGTGAACAGTTAGGAGCTAGTGGTCCTGGGTTGTGAGAGGGATGTCTGACTGCCCACTGATTGCCTAAACCAGCAGTAGGACATCCCCCAAGGGGGTCCCTGATTGAAGAGGATGCAGGCTGGGCTGAGGGACTCCCTCACCCTCCCGTGCATAAATTTTGTGCACTGGGCCTCTAGTTAAATTATAATATTGTGTGTAAAGCAATGTTTTATAAATGGCTTATATTGATTTGTGTGTGTGTGTGTTCATTGGGTAATTGTACTTGTCTGATTGGGTGGAAACAGAGGTGAGAGCTGAGGTTGGAGGGTCTGATCTGGATGATCATGAACACCCTTCAGTTCAGAAAGAAGAGTCTGGATTTACCCTCAATTCAGGGAGGATCATGGAAGGATTTTGAGCAGAAAATGGACAAATTCTGAAATGAGGTTAGATTCCTATGTGGAGGGTGAACTGGAGAAGGGAGCTAAGAGCTCAGGAAGGTGGTGGACATGACGGCTACCTTGGGGGTGTGTGAAGGTGCCCTCCCTCCCTGCCTTGTTGACTGAGGACACCAAGCGGCCCTTAGGACAGTGAGCCCAGGGGTGGGGGAGGGAGGAGCCTGGGGGCTGTGCAAGATGCATCTGCTCCCACAGGGAAGCTCAGCACCTCCTCCTGGACCTGGGACACAGGTCCTACGTCTCACACAGGTTCCACCTGACTTTCTGTTTCTGTGAGCAGTGGGTTCTCTCCATCTCCTGGGGACCAATCATCTGAGTCATTTCTGCCCCTTCAGAACACGTTTGAGGCCAGGTTTCACTTTGCTTTTCAAGCTGTAGAGACTCTTCAGGATTCAGAAAAAAATGACATTCATCTCACACACACACACACACACACACACACACACACACACACGAGTTTAAATATCAGGTGTGGCACTATCACATCCTGAATAGTTGAAGGATACTTGAGCAGGCCACTTCCTCCCTTGACCTCATCGCAATACCAACGCTTCCCCCATAAATGTGGTGAGAATTCTTCTCGACTGAAACATGGAGGAAACAAAACCAGCCATACACGCAGATGAAGATGGTGGAGGTTTGAGAAATTGAAAAGCGGAGATGCCTCGTCCAAAGGAGCAGAAGGAAGACTCCAGGTCAGTCAGACCTGCAGACAGATGAGGCTCTGAGGATCAGGTGAGACCTCAGATACTGCTGAGCTGCCTCCTGAGAGCCGGACTCCCCCTGAGCTCTCATCCAGGGAGATGCAGAGTCAGGCCCAGGGCGGGGCCATCTCCTGGCTGTGGGTCTGCAGTTGTGAAAACCCAGAAAGGCAGCAGCAGCCCCTGACTCACCACATCCTGTGTGTCTTGGTCCTTCAGGCCCAGGCCTCCTCCATCTGAAGAGCAGGAGCCCTCAGAGCCATGACGTCCATCCTCTCTGCTCTTCTCTGCCTCGGTCACTTGTGGAGACCAGCAGCAGGAGGGGATGGGCAGGAAATTCCCCCTTGTTCTTGTGGAACCTCAAGCTCAGGCAGCTCGAGTGGACAGGGCCCTGATTGGAAGAAAATCAGCTCAGATGTCCAGGTGGAAAACTCTGACAGGAACTCTCTTCCAGGGATGAGTCTGGACCAAGGGACCGGTATGCAGGCAGGTGAGGCCTCCCCAGCTCCATGTCCCTCCTCTTATGTCATCCCCTGGGGCTAAGGAGGGAGCACAGAGGTGCTTGGATGAGGTGATACAATGAGAGTATTTAGGGCTGTTCTGGGCAATGAGGGAGGGAAGGTCTTTGTAATGCAGCCTCTGGTTTCCTTCCAGAGATCCTCTCCAAACCCATCCTCTGGGCTGAGCCGGCCTCTGTGATTCCGTATGGGAGCCCTGTGACCCTCTCGTGTCAGGGGACCCTCGATGCCAAAAAGTTCTACCTGTATAAGGAAAGAAAACGTTTGCTTTGGAACACGCAGACCCGATGGGATCCCACGAACAGGGCCAAGTTGTCCATCAAACAGATGAACCAGGACTTTGCAGGAATATATCACTGTTACTATCACAGCCCCACAGGCTGGTCAGAGCCCAGCGACTTCCTGGAGCTGGTGGTGACAGGTGAGAGGCCCTCAATGGTCGCAGCCTCAAGCTCTGCCCTCAGGAAGGGGGTCTGCTCTCAGGGTGTCTCCCGCTGACAGCCCAGCCCTGGGGGACATGAGGAAGGAGCAAGCCTATTTAACACACTGCCTCCTCCTCTCCTAGGATCCTACAGTAAACCCAGCCTCTCAGTCCTGCCCAGCCTTGTCATGACCTCAGGAGGGAACGTGACCCTCCAGTGTGGTTCAGGCCAAGGATTTGATGGATTCATTCTGACTAAGGAAGGAGAACACAAGCTCGCCTGGTCCCTGGACTCTCAGCCACAGCCCACTGGGCAGTTCCAGGCCCTGTTTCCTCTGGGCCCCCTGACCTCCATTCAGAGGTGGACGTTCAGATGCTATGGCTGTTACAAGAACGTGCCCCAGGTGTGGTCACACCCCAGTGAGTCCCTGGAGCTCCTGGTCTCAGGTGAGAAATTCCCATCCCTTCCACATCCATGTTTTGAGAGACCAGACTGGTTATTGGTATCTTTGCTGAGAGGGGAGCCCCCTGTGAGAGGGTGGGGTACGGCAAGATTTGGGGCTTCCTGATCAGAGACACTGAGTGTGAGAGACACAGTGACACCTATGGGCCAGGACAGGAGAAGGGAGTTTATGGGAGGAGCAGCCCCTGTAATTCACATCTGGTCTTCCCATATGTCACTGGGAAGCCCTCCCTCCTGACCCAGCAGGGCCCCATTGTGGCCTCTGGCCAAAGTCTGACCCTCTAGTTTCATTCTGATGTCAGCTATGACAGATCCGCTCTGTCCAAGGAGCGGGGACGGGACCTCCCCCAGAGCCTTGTCCTGCAGCCCCAGGCTGGGCTCTCTCAGACCCACTTCCCCCTGGACACTGTGAGCAGATCCCACGGGGGCCGGTACAGATGCTACGGGGGATCTTCCCATATGTCTCTGGGAAGCCTTCCCTCCTGACCCAGCAGGGTCCCATTGTGGCCTGGCCAAAGCCTGACCCTCTAGTTTCATTCTGATGTCGGCTATGACAGATCCGCTCTGTCCAAGGAGTGGGGACGGGATCTCCCCCAGAGCCTTGTTCTGCAGCCCCAGACTGGGCTCTCTCAGGCCCACTTCCCCCTGGACACTGTGAGCAGCTCCCATGGGGGCCGGTACAGATGCTCCAATGGATACAACCTCTCTTCCAAGTGGTCGGCCCCTAGTGACCCCCTGGACATCTGAGCAAAGATACCAATAACTTGTATGTTTATTGAGGATCTAGTGGCTTCAGTAAGACACACAGACTCTGCACAGGCTGGACTGTGGGGTGGGTCTCACAGGTGGTGATAGCTAGGACAAGGGGTGTGGGCTCTCCAGGGAAGGAGACAGCATGAGCCATGGAATGGGAGCAAGAAGGATAGACTCAGGGAAAACAGAGACAGACAGAGAGGAGGGTCCTCAGAGAGAGGCCTGGTGACTCTCAGGTCAGAACAACATGGGCAGGCAGCCCTCACTCTTCCTCCCTCTCTCTAGGACACTTGCCTGACAGACCCTCCTTGTCAATGCATCCAGGCACCTTAGGAGAGAACATGGCCCTTCTGTCAGTCATAGAGACTGAGGGAAACTTTCCTTCTGTCCAAGGAGGGGGCAGCCAATCCCCTGCTTTTAGATCCAAGTTTTGAGCTCTCCAGTACCAGGCAGAGTTCTTAAGTTTTGAGCTCACCAGTACCAGGTGGAGTTCTCCATGAGTCCTGTGACCTTTGCCCACGGGGGGACTTACAGGTGCACAGCTCACACAGTACCTCCCCCTACCTGCTGTCACTCCCCAGTGAGCCCCTGGAGCTCCTGGTCTCAGGTGAGGGGTCCTTGACCCACTTCTTTCTTTTCTTTTTTTAAAAAATATATTTTTATTGATTTCAGAGAGGAAGGAAGGAAGGAGAGAGAGATAGAAACATCCATGATGAGAGGTAATCTTGGATCGGTTGCCTCCTGCAAGTCCGCTACTGGGGATTGAGCCCACAACCCAGGCATGTGCCCTTGACAGGAATCGAACCTGGGACCTTTCAGTTCGCAGGCCAACGCTCTATCTACTGAGCCACACCGGCTAGGGCTTGACCCACTCCTTTCTATGCTCAGTCAGCTCAGGGCCCTGTAATGAGACTCTGAGGGCTCCACCAAACAATAGGTTCCAGACCCCCTAACTCTAACACTCATCCACGGATTCCTGCTCCCCAGGTTTTGAATCAGGGGATCTCTCAGCCGTGGGGAAATAAGATGTTGTGGCCTTGCATTTCAGACAAAACACTGGAAAGAGCACTCAGTGTCTGTATTGAGTCAACTTTTTCTTTTTTTGGTGTACATTTTAATTTCTCTCTCTCCTTTTTGACAGTATTACAGCTATCCCCTGTTTTCTCCCTTTTTGGCTCCCTCTACCCAACACCCACCCTACCTCAGGCCTTAGCCATGCTATTGTCTGTATCCATGGATATGCACATATGCATATATGTTCTTTGGTTAATCTCTTCCTGTCCCTCCTCCCCTCACCTCTGCCGACTCCCACTGATGTCTGTCAGTCTGTTCCATGTATCCATACCTCTGGACCTACTTTGTTTGTCAGTTTATTTTGTTCATTAGATTCCACATATAAGTGAGACCACGTGGTATTTGTCTTCTCTAACTTGCCTATTTTGCTTGCCATAATACTCTCCAGGTCCCT